AACCCTGCCACAGCTGCACAGGCCCCTCTGCTGTGGAGTACAAGGGCCTAACCCTGCCACAGCTGTAGGAGACCTCTTTCCAGCTGGTCTTGGCCGGGGTGGGGTACCCCTAGACCTAGGCATGCAGCATGCATGAAGGTAGGGCTCACTTGTCTGGCTGGATGGGGCAGGTGCAGGCGGACAGCAGCACAGCCCTCAAAGCCACCTTCAAGGAGCCAACAGACCTGGGGGTATCAAAGCCGCCCTCGAAGAGCCCACAGACTGGGGGGTACTGGGAATGGGGCAGCCCCGCTGTCAGGTTCAGCCGTCATCCCCACTTCTCAGCATCGCAAGCCCTCCCGGCCTTGGTCTCTCCGCCTGCAAGCTGGGGTAATTCTCGGCAGCCGGGGGCCTCCAAGGGCCCATTAGAGAGAATGGGAGCAGAGAGAGTCCGGCCCCAGGGACTGGAGCTGCAGTGTAAGTACAAGCACGGCCGCCAGAGCACTTAACCCAGTTTCCTTTAATTACAATTCGAGTTCACAAACACCAATCTTGGCGGGAAAGAGCCCACCAAGGGGTCTAGCAGTGCTGAGTGGTCTGCTGGTCCCCGCCTCCCACCCATCCTGTCAGTGCCCTGCACACTCCAGCTGCCCCCCCGGGCACTGTCTGGGTCAGAGGGTGTGTGTCCTGCCAGCCAGACTCAGACCCCCAGCCTCTCATCAGACCTTGGGGTCCCAGTGCAGCCCTGGCCTCTGGGCGCCTGCAGGCCCAGCAGGTGCATGTTCTGTACCTTCGCCTTGCCCTGGCACCAGACCTGGAGGAGGGCCAGGCCGGGTGGGACCTCCTGCACCAGCCCCTCACCTGGAGAACCCTGTCAGCCCTGGGGGCTCAGAGGCAGGTTCTGGCCTTCCACAAGAGCTATGGCCACTGCCTGAGGGGCACTCAGCTTGACCCCAAATCCCACCGTCAGGCTGAGCCCAGGGCCCTGGCCACTACAGCTGGCTCAGCTTGATGCTGGCAGGCTCCTGGGACAGCCTCCACACCAGCCCTTCAGTACACGGAGGCCTCAGGGGTCCTACTGCCCACAGGGCAGCTGCTCCTTCCTACGCCAGCCCAGGGCTGGGCAGCACTGGGAGGGTGAAGGGGCTGGTGGCCAGGGCGCACGGGCTACTCACAGAGCCTCTGGCCATCACACAACTGGGGCCAGGGCGAGGGGCCACTCAGGGCCAGCCTGAACTTGCTCCTGGGAGCCCCCAGCTCCCTGCCTTCCCACAGGCTCTGGTGAGTGGCTGCACACTCGAGAAAAACACCCACTCAGAAAAACAAAACAAAACAAAACACCCACTCCTGCGTGCTCGACCCTGCCCACAGCACAGGCTAGGCTCAACCCCAGCCACCACAAAGCAAGAGGGACAGGCAGGCAGCAGAGCTGCCCCAGCTCTCCGCCTCTGGCCAGGACGCCCTGCGGAGACGG